TAGCTTCGTTTTGGAGAGGAAGCGGCTCAAGAACTTGGGAACCAAAGCTAACTTTTCTAGTAGCATGACAGGACCGTCTGGCAAGAATTTGTTGCACGACTTGGGCAACGCGCACATGGATGTCTCTGCGGTGTCCATTGGCGAATTCTGGAGAAGGATCTCAGAAGGACCCCGTTCGACACATTGCGTGTCTGGGACGCACCTTCAAAAAATCGGGATGCTAAATCCTCGGACCTGAGTGGAAGTGAATTTTTTGAGAGCCCAGGGTGTACCGAGCGCGAAGGACTCGTTGCAAAACAGTTTCCTCAAATATGCACTTTGCGGTTGCTTGGAACGAATGGAAAGTTACGCCGCTGAGGTCATCATTCCCAAGTTGGCCAAGAAGTTCTGGCAGGGCCATGAGAGGCTTTTGTTCGACTATGTTTATCATGGAGGGCAGCTGTACGTGATTGGTGGCCAGACGCCCAGGTAAAGCAGAGGAGCCTAGCATAAGTCTGTCTTGCCACGCATGGCTACATGTTTTCAATGCAGATGTTTGGTGCGAAGAGGCAATAAGCTGTCTACAAGTAGGTGCTTCCGAGTTCCCGAACAGACTTTGGCTCATTTTGAATTTTTGAGTGCGTTGTGGCTTCAGCATGAACTGCAAAAATTCCTGACACAACTGGAGGCCACTTCAACCGCGATGTGCTACATGACATCTTCGGGTTCAATCTGCAGCATGCGCATTCTGGCAACGTGCCTAAGCTTTAAAGCTTCAGACTGCCTATGCGCCCTGTGATGGTTTCAGCCGTAAGTAGCCGTGTCATCGAACGCAGGCTGCTGAGGTTTGTGCTAGCCGCTCCCGAACTCTTGAAACCAGGTGCAGTATCTTCAGCAAGGTCACAGAGCCATTGCGCCTGAGTGCTCGGGCAAGTGGTTGAGCCTAGCCTGCATATAGTAGCTACTGCCCCTTAAGAGGAGCACACGAAGACAACTTCTGCAAGCAGCTGCCGTTCTGAGAGTCATCCTGCAAGGAAGATGCTTCCTGTGCTTAATGCGATGACAGCTGCCACTTGGATGTAGCTCAGTCTTCATGAGCTGTTTGGCACCGTCAGAACTCTTTCAGTGATTCAGGTAAAGCTGTCTCCGCAGGGTCGGAACTTTGGGCATTCAGCGACGTCGATCCTGGCATGCATGAAACATGCGTTATGATCAGCGTCTGAAAGTCAGACATTGCTCGCTCTCAAGCTGACTGCATAGATCTAGAGGAATGACAAAGGCCATGTGCAGACCATGAAAAGAATGTTTTTTTGAAGATTGCTGTCGACTTATGGTAACTTGGAGAGCATGCTCGCCCTTCAGAGATCCCAAGTTCTCTGAGGACCGGGCTCTACTCAGCAGAGGAGACTTCTTCGAGCTTCAACAGCCCCTTCTGATCAAAATAAAGCGTGGTCCTGAGAATGCAATAACATTTTTCTCAACGATCTGAGGTTTCGGCCTGGTAGACCTCCAGCTCGGTGGAGGTCCTCGGACATACTCACCATTCCTTGCTCCAGGGTTTGCGTTCCGGAAGGCAAGGGAGCCTACTTTGCTTTCGACTGGCATGATGACGTGTCGCAAGAAAGGCGCCCATGGGCAGCCGCCTCAGCTTTAGCAGTCCCACATTTTGTTTTGCGTTGCTTCCTTGACATTTTGGTGGTGCTGACATGGGACACGGGTCATGTTGCGACAGTTTAATCCTAACGTGCGACACGTCTCCACTTTGGCCGCAATTTCCTGTTGGCTCATACCCTGTCATGTGTCATGTTAGCAAGGCTATGACATTCGCCATGCTGGCCAACTGCAACACGCAAGAGGCAGCGCAGTAGACACACTCGGTGATGTGTGGTGTCAGTCGGAAGCCAAATATTCATGAAAACTGGAAAGCGTCTTGTAGCACAGCCTGGATTTTCCTGACCAGCTTGCAAGAGGGAAGCGCTTTGCCCAGGGCTCTGAGCTGGCCATGTGAGTTGAGCAAGACCATGGCCATTGCTGCATCTGATTCAGGGATTTCAGGATCGAGGGCTTCGGGTTCGCGTGGAGTCAATCGAGTGATCACGCCGACCTCATTCCCAGAAGTCGTTTCATCTTCCTGTGGTTGCTAAACTGCAGCGCTGTGGTGTGGTCAAACCCTTGCAGGAGCAATGCGCTGCTTCATCTTGTTCTTGTGGAGTGACGAAGACAGTCATGATTGATCCTCCTCTTGCAAACTGTTTTGGAAGGTTCGCATCAGTGCAATGCCGGCTGACTCACAAGCACGAGGCCGCAGGGATCTTGCAACTTGAACTTGGTCTTCCTGCATTAGCAGCCATCTCGGCAGGCTGGCAGGCGCCTGCTCCAGCCATGCCGAAGGTGGCTGCTTCAAAGATACCGGAATGCATACACAGCTGTTGACATCTACGCTTTATGTCTGTGTGATGCAAAACATCAAGATACATGCAGAGTCTGGAGTCCAAAGCATGCTATGTAGCTGCTTCTGGCTTCTCCTCAAGGAAGATGCGACGTGCTCGAAAGGTTCCTGCATGACAGGCAAGAGCACAAGCAAGCCTGACAAGGTACTCAACCCAGGACTGCAGGCTGTTGGTGGCCCAGGCAGGTTTCTGCCAGAACGTTTTCTGCGTAGGTTCGCACGCTGGACTGGACTTTGAGTAGGACGAGGGTTCTTGCGTTGTGTTTGAAAGATAGCAGGCATTACAATAGAATGTGTACGTTTAAGTGTAGGGTGCGTAGATCAATTGCAAATCGTGAAGTAGGTCACAGAGCATATACCAACGAAAAATTTTGTCGATGGCATATGTTGAGCCTCTGCTTGGAAGGGAGGATGGATAAGAGTGGGAGAAGACGACAAGACAGCTACCCTGCGGTGAAGTGCCTCATTAGAGCGGGGCAGTGGGGTCGACCGCAGGCTTCAATTTATCTTCAGATTTTCCTCAGATTTTCGTCAGTTTTTCCTCAAATTTTTCTCTCCGTTCACAAACCATTTCCGCTAATACACCGCTAATTTTTTTCAATTGAAATGTTTCCTTGATTCCAATGTTTACATGCCAACGCCGGTCTCAAGTCTAGGCCTGTAGCTAGCGTAAATGGGAAAATACGCGAAACTAAAACCCAAAATGACAAAAACACCAAGAAATCAAGTCCCGTAGTTTTGGGGCTGCAGAAAAGTGAAAGTAACAAAAACAATAAAATCACCAACAAAACCAAAACAAAAACAAGCAAACAACATGGTACCATATTTTCCATATCCCAGGAGCAGGGGGTCGGATTTTTTTTGGTTTCTTTTTTTTTGTGTTTCGCTTTCGAATCATGAGTTTTTGGTATTTTTCGTTGTATTTTTTGTAAGAATCTACCGGTTTTTGGAGTATTATATATAATAGCATTTTGCATGGGCCTGCAACAGTCCTATCTGCATGTGTAATGTGCAGGGTGCACATCCTTGCCCCAAAAAAGCTGAGAATTGGCAGACTCGCAAAGATTTCAGACAGATGCTTGTCCCATGTGCAGAAAGACAAACAGGCTACTTTGGAATTCGCCCCACATGTTTTGGGAGAGGGGAAACGATTCTGGTTTTGGTTTTCCAAGCGCCCTCTTTATATACGCGAACCTACTAGCAAAATCTTGAGCATTGAGCATCTGTTGCATCTTATGTTTGACAGATTCGGGCAGGGGCGAGCGCTTCCTGGCCTCGCAGACTTCAGGCCTCTAGACTGTTTTGGATGACGCAACATTTGCAACGAAAGTGTTGGCAACTGCTGCCAGACCACAGCTGCGGCTTTTTCTCTTGACGCTTGGGAAGGAACTTCGCTCAGTTCTCAGAGCGTCCCTGAAACGATGTGCCAAAATCATTCTAGATGGCCTAGACGCAGCGGTTGCGTTGCTGTTTCTCGGCCAAGCTTGTTGATATTGTTTTGTTGCTGAGGCTGCTGACTGGCAATCCGGTTGAGCCAGATCTGGAGGTTCTGCCGCAGTGTCTGGCGAACATAGAGCCGCATCGCTGTCCGAGTCGTCGTCTCGAATCATCGGAGGATGGTCCTACAAATCTGCAGCTCCGCCCTAATGACAGGTTTCCATTGCGCTGGCCTGTCCCTTCCATCCTGCTTCGAGTGATGGGCCACATTCCCAGCTTGCGGAAGAACTGGTGAACAGATCATCACCCTCTGCGGTTCAGAATCGAGATCTTGTAAGAAGGATTTCTCTAGGCTCTAAGGCTTTCAATTAAATCATCGCCACATGACCAGACTGTCCGACATTCGCAGCCTAGCTGGCCCACAGCGCCGCGCATGGCTGAAATTGAGCCTGACCTTGACATGACATGACCTGACAGAACATTGTTCTCGGCCGAAGGCTTGCTAGATCCGCTAGCAAAGGCTTGTACTAGCAATGGCCCTTCCACATGGAGCGGCCCGCCCTTGCAGGCAGTCCAATAAAACTCGAAGGCTTCTTATGCTAGTGCACCACATGCTGCAGGCTGAGCCTGCCCGCGGATGTTCCCTTCAGCTCAAAGTGGCAGCTGGGACGGGCATCTCCGCCTACATCGGCAGGCTGGCCTTGAAAAGCGCATCCACTAACAAAGGGCGATGTGTTGGCAAGCTGGCATTTGCAGGCTGGCGCTGGAGCCTTCCGAGGAGAAAGATGGCCGCACCCGCCTTGCGATTTGGGCGATTTGGGCAGCTCAGGGCGAGCCTTGGCCGGTCTGCAAAGAGGATCGACGGGCTCCTTGACTCCTCATGGCTCCTCCAGTCTGCATTTTATCCCTTTTTCATCTTGATGAAGTTTGGTATGCACGTAGCCAGCACATTTCAGGTCGCCATCAACCTTTACAGTGATGCCATTTCTTTTTGTGGCTCGAAACTGCAAGAAGAACCTGAAGCTTACAGATGTTATGGTGTTCTATGTGGCGGACCATTCATTCCTTCTTGGTCGCACAGGTTGCTGCAGCAGTGGCAAACCGTGTGTCAAATCGCATTCTCTTGGCACCCTTGATGCGCCATACATACTGTGTCCTGTCTGCACTTGAAACAGCAGCTAAATCTTCAGCGTCCAGAGCATCCCAGTTCTGGCACTCACGACCACAATGGCGCAATTGTCGATATATTGCCTCTGGTTATGGCAGAAGGTCCGCCAAGGAACGTCAGGCTTTGGGAGACTTCAGTCTTTCTTGCTGCAAACAGAGTAGCAGTCGTGGAGGAGAGATCACCAAGTCCATGTGGGAGTTTGTCAGATCACATCCCTGGTTGCTCGGCGCCTTTGGCCTCTGAGTCTCGTCTGCTCTGGCTCCGCTCTTCTTTGGGCTTTCTTGGCAAGCTTGCTTGTGTCTAAGTTACTGTAGCAGTAGCAGTTGCAGGGTTGTTGCGGCTTCAAGATGCAGAGGTAAAAGCCCTGAGGGCATGTTCGTGCCAGTGCTTGTCGAGCCTTCAGGTGAAGGAGCTTTTTTCCCCTTGGTTTTCTACTCAGCGGCGCGGTTGCCGGGAAGCCTGGTCCAAGTGCTGAACCAGACCCTCATACCTTTTACTGCCACATGTCAGGCAACACAGGTAGACTTCAAGCACATACCAATGCTGGAATGCATATGCGGGTTCAAGCTTCCTTCCCGACGCAAGGTTCTTTTCAGTTTTGTTTGTCTCAAGCGGCGATACGACAGTACCCAGATGCTGGGTGTTGTGGCAGCTGGGATGCACGTGTTGCACTACGTCCGAAGGTATTGTCAAGGCACTTTTTATGACCCAGCCGCAAGAGGCGGCATTCTGCCTGCTCTCTGTTGCAAGTGTTTCAAGGTCGTTCTTTGCGGCGTGACGTTGTTTACGTCCTTGCCACAAAGCTCTGGATCACCCTCAGTATTTCTAGTTCTTTGCATCGCCGCTTATGGGTCCTGTGCTGAGTGTCCACACGCATGCATGTCCTTGATGTCTGACAGCGCTTGTGATTCTGAGGCTTCAAGCAGCAGCATTCTGGGCAGCACCAGAGGAATGAATGATCACCCATTAGTTGTGTCGAAGTAAAGGTCCCTGTGGCATTCGTGATTTGCATTTGGCAGTTGCTGTAGCAGTGTAGGTTCACAACAATGCCCTTCCTTAATGTCTTTGCGGCTATTAGCCTTGATAGCGTCGCTTTCATTCAGATGTAGATTGTTTCTTTTTAGTGGAGCCTTTGTTGGAGCCCTTGCCTGATCCTCTGGCTGCAGAAGCTGCTGACTTAGGAGCGGCCTTACATTTGGGGGTCAAAAGGGGTTGATTCTTAAGTCGAGCGTTCTCCCGTTCCAGCTCTTGGACCTTGGTAAACAAGTCAGCATTCGCTCTGACTGGTGCACGCTTCTTGAACTCAACAGCTAGTTCCTCAGCAACATGTTTCAAAGTGTGGTCCGTGCCGAGCTTCCCAGTCATGCAACTCCTTCTGCGGACGCCGTCGCCTATGTTCGGCGATTCTGGTGACAAAGTCTTGTCCGTCTGGTGTCACAAGATCTCCTTGAATGCAATGAAGGAAATTGCCCGCGAAAACCAACTCCTGCCTGGATCGAAAGTGCTTCCAAGACACCCTTCGACCATGTGCCATCATTCTCAATGCCCAGTGCAAGTTTAGGGACTGTGTGAGTGAGCTTTGCAATGGGTCATGTCTGCAGGGATTGGGCTTTGCAGCTGCAGTGAGCTAGAGGCTGCGCTAGAAAAGGGTGCTGTGTTTGCCCTGCACTTCCGTGGCATTAGTGAGCCACTTTCATGGCGCCGGAGCTCCTGATCACGATCCTGGGCATCGCTTGCTGACCGCTGCGCCGCTCGTGTTCGAGAACTACCGCACGATTTTCCGCTCGAAGGCGAAGCTCCCCTGGGCAGTTCTTCAACGACCATTACCTGATTCTGTAGTTTCTCCTCGCTGGTTTTCGGCAAGAGAAGCATGAGTCAGAGTATGGCGAACGACCAGATTCCTTCGTGGGACAGAGATCCCAATACCTTCGAGCGCTTCGCCACGAACTGCAGATGGTACTCGAACAGCTTGAAATCTTCAGCGCGTCCCCTGGCTGCTCCAAGAGTTTGGCACAAGCTTACTGGATCAGCGAAAAGCGTGGTGCGGAACCTAGATCCTGAGCAGTACATTGGGACGGATGGTCTGGAAAAGCTCTTGCAAGTTCTCCGCAAAAGTCCCCTTCAACGGCTCCCGATCCCGGACACCTTTCAACGGCTTGAGCGGTGGACCGGGATGACCAGAAGATCCCAAGAATCAATTCCTGAGCTCCTGGTCCGCGAAGAGGAGTTGTTCACAGAACTTCAGCAGAGCCTTCTTCGTGCCCGTTCAGGCCCCGATCCTGGTAAAGCTGTTCCCCATGATGAGGAGGACAGCTCAGAGAACGACAAGGAGGCCCAGGCACCTCCCGGACGAGAAGGTACGGCTTGGACGGCGGGGGCGTCCCCGAAGAAAGGTGCCACCTCGTCCGCCGAGAAAGACAAGGAGGCACCTTCGCAGGAGAAGGCCGAGACTCGGTCAGCGACCTCAACTCCGACGAGCCGCCGGTCCAGGAAGTCTTGTTTGGAAAAGGGGTTCTTTGAAGAGGAGCTTAGGGCGTACAGACTGTCGAAGTCGGCGGTTTTGAGCCAGACTGAGAGACAGCAGGTGCTGACTTTGACCGGCAATTCGACCAGATTCCAGAGTGTCCGCCAGGCACTGAGGGCTCTTCATGGTGACGGTGTCCTGGGCTATGCCTCGGAGAAAACATGGGATACCTATGACGAGTCATGGGAATACCCATACGGCGAGGATGAGGAGAGCTACTGAAACCAAGCGGACGAGGCCTGGGATGACTGGGACAATGGCGAGTGGGCCTGCTATGAGTAGAACGATCCCGATGGCGGCCCGCCTGACAATGACTTCGTGCCTGAGACCTCAGAGGACAAGGCCCTCGTGAAAGGCCAAAGCTCGACAAGCAAAAGCTACTTCCCTCTTGGTGGCAAAGCCGGCGGAAAGCCAAACCCTTCGCGCCCGAAAGGGCCCTATGCAAAACCATGGAACGGAAAGATCGGAAGCAGAAGGGCCAAGACGGACCCTGCGCCGCTTGTGGCAAGACTGGCCACTGGTTCCTCAACTGTCCTAGCCGACAGCAGAAAGGAAGCAGCTTCAAGAGTGACAAGAAGGGTGGATACAAGAAAGGCTTCGGCAAGCCTGAGGGCAGGGAGATGCGACGCTTCATTTTTTTTGATTTTCCGGGTCGATGAAGAGGTGCCTGCGCTGCCAAACTCTGGCAGGTACCTATGTGCTCTCGTGCGAGGACGGAAGACCCGGCAACAGCCTGCCACCGGGCTCGGTGATCATCGACGCAGGAGCGACTGAGTCTGCGTGCGGCGTCCAGACCATGGAGGAGTTGTTGCTCTTCTTGGGCTGCCACTGTGAAGTCTGTCTGGAGGACCGACCTGTCTTCAAGTTCGGCGATGGACGAACGCTTCAGGCGGTCTCCCGCGTAGACTTGGAGACTTCCGCCGCAGGCAGACTGTCCGTGTGCTGGACAGTGAAGCTGCTTTGAGAACACCCTTGCTCCTTGGAGGAAGAGCGATGCGGAACATCAAGGCCACCGTCGGATACGAGGACGAGACCTTGATGTTCACAATGATCCTGCTCGAGGACTTCGCTTTCTTCCGCTTTGGGCCACTTGTGGTGGACATTTGGTGGCCAACTTGGCAGATTCAAGCTTTTCCCTCGGCCATGTGCGTGCATACATGGAGTCAGAGTTTGGCCCTAAACTGCCACACAGATTCCTTTGTTCAACAGGTCTTGCTGACACCTGGACTTGCCGAGGAACCCCGCCAAGGCTGTGCCAAGACCACCCCTGGTGCAGACGGAGATGATGTCCTCCTCAACTGGGAGACGCACTCATGAAGCTGTGCAATCCTGTGGCAAAAGGTAGGACGCGTGGAGTTTGCCCGTGCGGTGCGTGTGGGCCAGAGAGCAGTTTCAAGTTTGAAACCGTGACCGCGCAGCTTGTTGACATGTTCCCTGCCTCCATAACGAGCGCGAGACTTACTTACAGGAGAGAGCGCAACAACTTTCATGCGAATCTGCGGCGCCTGAGGCTCAAACTGTGAAGCTTGCGCTCCCGACTACCACAACATGTCCAAGGCGGCAGCTCCGACCTCGGCCTTCGAGGCGAATCCCGCTCAGCTTCTGGCAGCCCGAGAGGACGACCCGCGTCGCACGGGATGGCCCTGCGACGGGAAGCACTCTCCCGGGCCAGTGAAGCCAGTTTGCGAGCTGGCAGAGTTGCAGCCGATGTGCCCTCCGCCTGATGTATCAGCCGGCTCTCGCCGTCAAGCCGGGCCGACGAGGGAGGTCTTGGTCTTGGTTGCATCGGTGTCTCCACCTTGCGAATGGAGAAGACTTCCGAGGAGATGACAGAGGACCTGGTGAACGCGAAGGTTCTGGAGATCGCCGGCCGCGTGAAGCAACAGGGCTACAAGGTGAACGTCCAGGAGTACATGGAGAAGCAGAAGGGCCGATCATCGGGGCCGCCTCCAACGAACGGCGCGATTCCCGACTGCCCCAACAGCGGTGACTACGGCCAGGGAGGGTGGAACTTGACTTCCCAGAATCACCTCCATCTGCACCACTAAGGTCCACGACAGGATTGCTCTTGGGCACCGACGAAGCAGCAACAGAAACAACTGGCCGCAAGGAAGATGAACCCAAGCTGCGATCAACCGTTGAAACAGGCGGCGCATCAGGTAAAGCCCATGAAGGTAAAGCTGACACAGGAGGAGGGTAAGCTTGCACACCTTCTGGCAACGCCCACTGGGGTATGTACTGCGGACGGCTCTTAGGCTTTGCGCCAACTTTACCAGCTAACATATTCATCAGGGAACTTCGCACGGCACTGGCATTTTCACTCAACAGCGACGTCGGCAAAGGGATTCCAAACTCCGGGCGCAAAGGCTCGGAGCACTAGCTGGCGCACACGGCAGGCAGCGACCAATTCGCCAGGCGTTTCTGTTGGGCTAGTATGGCTTATGCTGGCACTGAGACCTCCATGTGGCGTCTTGTGGAGTCCCACCTCGGACTCCAGCGCTTGACTGGGAAACAAGTCCCTTCCATTGTTCACATCGTGTCGATACCACTAAAAGGCCCTTTCTTCAACTGCAGGATTACATCATTTACCGTTCTTGACAAGTACCGAAGTGCAAAGCCACACATGGATAAAGACTGTACCGATTGGCTTCCCATCTCGAAGATGTTATCTACGGAGACCTGCTGGTTCACTTAGAGCAATGTCCTACACACATGGACCTAGCATTATATGTCATGAAATTGTCGACTTGTGCAAGTCAAAATCATCCAACTGTAGAACATGACTGTAAGCAACAAGTCTGCAAACAACATGTCTGCAGACACATGAAGCACATCACTGTCACAACCTGCCATGGCACTCATCCTTACTCATCCCTTGTCTTCTTCCACGGCTTCGAGTGAAAACTCGCGCAACTCCGGAGACCTGTTTTGAAAAATGCTAATCGCTCTGTACAAGCAGGAACGCCAGGTTGATCAGACCTGGTATCCCATGGCGCTGGTAGTCTCGTTTAGTGCGGTCCCACAGCCATGCCGCACTCCCCTGCGACTTCAAAGAAAACCACCTCTCGAATTGTATCAGGTCCTTTTCCTATATGTTCTTCGAAAAAAACATCAATCATGCACTTTAGTGATTAAAAACCATTAGCTTAGAATCAGGGTGCACGCACACAGCGGTGGCTTCATGTTTGCAGCTGGATACAGCTGATATCAACCACATTTTTTGCAGTAAAGCTCGCCTGTACAGACACCACTTGTTTATCATGGTGAAGACGCGTTTGTTGCATGACCTTGACAATGCGTAGAAGATGTAGTTGTGGAACCGCACACAGGAAACCTGAGAATGTGCGGATGCGCGTTTCAAGAGGCACTGCGAATGGCAATCTTGCTGAGGCAATGGTTGTGAAGGAGACAGTTTTTCTCAGGTTCTCGCAATTAAGCAAGGGGCAAGGCGGGAGTTGCTGCTACGGGGGTGAGCAACAACTAGCACAACGAGTTGACAGGAAAGTCCAGCACGAGGCACCCGTTCGCGGTGGCCCAAGTTCTTCTTCTCGTTCTACATGTTTTGCACCTTGCAGACCAGTTTCTCTTGCCCTTCTGACAAGCCTTGAATTGAGGATGCAGCGCTCTTCCTGACCATTGGCACTTGCTGCCGCTGCGCTGTGCAGCTTTTGGCCTGGCCAGTGTATCTGCAGTTGGTGTCCCCAGCTCTTGGAGTCAGGAGCTTTGTGTCTCGGCAGTGCGGCAATTGGATTTACTGATGTGCAGAGTCGCAAGGAGCAGCGCAACAGCCGGCATCATGGCAATGATGCAGAGTTCTGTTCTGCCTCTGACGATATTTTACATTGCTGCAAATGTGGCTAGGATGCCAGGAGAGTGCTGGGAAATTTAAGTAGGGCAGCGGTTCTTTGAGCTGCACGCTTCCATGAGATTTCAACATTCTGTAAGGTTGCCATCAGCATCACGGCATTGCTGCTGGTACAGATGACCTCCGCTTCGACAGTTGTTTTGGCCAACGTTGCGGCCGGCCTGCAATATAGTTTGTACGGATCCAATTGCAATAGTCCTTGGGTCTTGAAGCATGTCAGTGTGCGCTGATTTAAGTTTCGGAGCTGTGTGTGTGTGTGTGTGTGTGATCCTGCACTTGAGTTGCCGGAGCTGCTGTCTGCTAAACCTCTCGGTCTGTAAGTTTGTCTCGTCCTTGTGCATGCGCTTGCAGCGAGAATGCTCAGCTTTGAGCAGGTCCGTTGGACAGTGCTGCCAGGGTTGTGGGTGCCGCAGGTAGCGCTGCCGCTGTCTGCATTGCTCTTCTGCCTTCCGCTTCCATCGTTGGAGCGCGAGGCCAGGCAAGGATCAATTGCAGCATTCGTTGCAGTTCACACGCTTGAGGTAGTGTGTGCAGCATGTTGACAGGTGTTTCATTGGCGCTTCGCAGTCAGTCTCTTGCTAGTTATTGTAGGGATCTTTGGCCGCATCAAGACGTCGTGGGATGATCATTGCCAAGCCTTGGCCTGAAAATGTCATGCCAAGGAATTTGCTCTACAGCCATCGCTCGCTGAAGCTCTGATGCTTTCAGAGCCATTTATGTAAATGAATCGACTGCGACGATCTGTGCAGCACCGCAGTCCAACGCACTGTTGCTTTGCCTAACGTTGTGTGCTGCGCGGCGCGAAAAAGCTGCAAAACAGGTACGTCGTTTGTTTCCCCTTTTTTCTCCCTCAGACAGCTGTGCCATGCTGTGCCATGCTGTGCCATTCTGTGCCATGCGGTGGTCACAGTGGTCATGTAGGCTTCGTGAAGCAGATGCAAGCAGCTGTGATGGCATCAGAGCCGCAGCCTCAGAGCCTCAGACTTCAATTTTTGCTGTTCTTACGAGTATCATCACGAAACAAATCAACCTGGCAATTCCTTTGTAATATTGTGGATGATCTGCTCTCTGATACAGACTACGATGGCGCAGGATTTTGCACATTCGCTGCCTTGATCCGGATTTCGTAGAGTGAAGGTCATCAGTGAAGACTGCGAAGTGTTGCAACATTTTCTTTATCCATAGTTCTTGAATGACTTCTTTGGCTGCACCAGGACCTGTTGCCACAAATCTGTACTGTAACGGCCACCAATTTGTGTAAGATGCGCTGTGATTCGCTGTGCTTGCCAGCTGTAGAAAACGTTTTCAACCTTGTGGGCGAGGTGGAACAGCATTCTGACTGATTGTAACAGGGTTCAAATAGTTTTAACTTTATAGCCAGCCTTGGAGGCAGCCCGTAACCCGCGGGGATAAAGACCATCTTGGTAACATGGGGGATAAAGACCATGTTGGTAACATATATATATATATATTTACACATGTGTATGTATATATGTCTGCAATTATGTATATACTTTTTTTTTTATCCTGGAGAGTGCTTATGCGGATTTTCGGAGCGTTGGGATAACGTCAATGTGGCTGAGCCTTGGCTGAGGAAAAGATGCTGGACAACTTGTTGACACCGGAGTCAGGCTGTTCATTGCATTTTGCAAATTGCGGCTGTGACGCCGTGGCAACAGTCTGTTAGCAGGCTTTTATGCTGCCCTGGCACCGAAGACGAACCTGCAGCTGGTTCATTTTGCCCCGCCTACTGCTTGGAGCACTGCTGAAAAACGCAGAACACACCTGATATTCCCCCACAAGATGTTCAAAAGCTCACATGTGTGTTGAGGCCCCACATCATCCAAGTACTGTCCGATTGCCCGCCGATTGAGAAGATTGAGGAATCAGCGCCAAGTCAGCAAAGAGCCTTGACTTGCTTCATGACTCGGGCAGCAACAATAAAGACCTGACGTTGTGCAGATGGCTGCTATAAGCCCAGAGTACAATTCGAAGGTAATTGTCTATGCAGTTTGTGCCTTCATAATGACACTTGTGACATTCTTATCACACGTTAGCAACAGATTTCGTGCTTGTGAAGCATGTCTTTTGCCTCTAAGCATGAGGAATGCATCAGGCTATGCTGCTAGGGACAGCAGACATTTCCATTGCGGAAGCATTCGCTCAGTATGCCACACTAGTCCAAGGATTAAGTGCTCCAGTTCTATGGCATGCCCCATGAGTCCAAGGATTTGGAGAGAATTATTTTTGTTCAGGATGGCCGATTCCATGGTACACACTTAAGAGTCGGAGGCATTTAGCTTGAGGAACTCGGATTTGGGGCGAGGCTGAACTGTAAACCCAGCTATCATCAAGCCCTAAACAGGCGTACCCCGGACTCGTGGTGGCCCTTAGATTAGCAAGGTGTTCTTTGGACTATTTTCTGGTAAGCCTGAGTGAAGGACACTCGTCACGCCGTTGCTCTGCTAGGACGTAAGCCCCGGACACACAGTGCTATCTAGAAAGAACCCTCGGACCAACGGAGCGTCCCCCTCCAAACGAATCTGGATCCTAGCTTTAGATTAGATTCAATAGGAGAAGGTTTTCCGGAGCTCAGAATATGCTGTTAAAAGAATTCAATAGAGGGAGGGTTTCTGGAGCTCAGAAAATGCTGTTCAATAGATTCTGGAATCCCTAGGGGGGGCAGAGAAATTTGGATAATCAAGTCTCCAAGACATTCGTATTCTTGAGGACCCAAGCAGCTGCTGGACTACCCCCTTTAAAAAATGATTGCCTGGCCTCCTTGAATAAGCGATGCAATGAGAAGCCGATACTTTTGGACCTGGCCTGAAACCTACTAAAAGTCCTGAGGCCTGACATCTTGAAAAGTTTGCTTTCAAATAGCGAGCCTTTTCAAGGAAAGGCCCTTGCTTTCTATAATCCCTGGGGGGCCCGAAAATCTCGGATAATCGAGACTCCCCAAAACATTCGTATTATTGAGGACCCAAGACGCTGCTGGAAATGATTGTCTGCCCTTCTCGAATAAGCGATGTAACGACAAATCAATAGTTTGGGACCTGGCCTGAAACCTGAAATCCTGAAGCTTATCAAGATCCTTGAGGCAAACATCCTGATCTACCATTTTAGTATGAGCAGCTTGGACTAGAAAGCACATTAGTTTTTAATCTACATCATTACTTTCAGAAAAAAATCTAGGCCGCGCAACTTCGCACTATTAAGGGGCCCCAACCGAACCAGGGGGTGCTGAATAATTTCGGCGACACTTCGCACAATCCCCATACTATTCGTGACCAAACATTAGCAAAGATCAGCACGTCGTAATCTGCAAGGCACTGCGGGCCTTGATATCCATTGGGCTGAATACTTTCGGCGATTTGAGTATTCAAAGGTGCTGCATATGAACGCAGCTTGCGACTTTGGTGGCAGTGGACAAGGCAGAGAGGTGTTCAAACTTGTGAGCTTTGTCCGTCGTTCTCTGGCAGGAGCCGAGGAAGTTTACACGAGCTCAACTGCATTCCTGTTGCAGCCTTAACTTGCGGGATGCCGGGATTTGGTCCAGGACTAGATCCAAGTTTTCGTGTCTTCATAATTGCAGCACTTCTCGCCCCTTTCGCCGTGGCTATGTCTGGTAAAATTCCTGGAGGCATAGGTGGCTAGCTACAGCAGTGTGTACAATGTGTGTTCGTGTTTTGCGGAGCCGGGACGGCCACTGCTTGCTTGCAGCTTAAATCTGCCACGAGCCAACGACACATCAACAAGTTTGGACACAACCAGCTGCAAATCATTCCGAGGAGGCCAGAGCTTAAATGAACCGTCTGGAGCAACGAAAAGAGCAAAGCATCCACCGGAATCAGGCAATTTCAGACCCAAGCATACCTGCAAAACCACGCCTGCATCAGAAAAACTCCGAAACGCACAAAGAAGTCTGCAGAACAAAGACAACCAACCTAACAAAGATAAGCTCATGCAAAGAACACGAACAGATTTCAACACAAGTGGGACACAAGAAACTACACTCACCAACCACCTTTCTGTGCTTCCTGAAGCTTTGCTTTTTGAGTGTTTGACTGTTCTTGCAATTATGTTCGTCGTGAGAATTTTCAAAGGTGCTCTAAGAACCCTTCTGTTTTTGGCTGTTGGTTTCTCTTTCATGAGGTGTTGAGGTTGATCAACTGTTTTTCTTGTCGAGAACTGATGGATGGCCAAGAACACACTTTGGGCCCCTGCCCAGGCGCTCACACCTGTTCCAGTCCCAGCTTGGAGTGGAGATGCTCAGTCGAGACTTGCGGAAACAGGCACGTTCCCCTTATGATGCTGACTGGTCAGATGGTCAGGTTGTTGTTGCTGTGTGCTGCAGCTGTTGTGTCTTGCAGTCCGGCAACTCTGGCTTTGTGAGTCCTGAAACGGCAGGTTTGCCGACGACCTCTGTGCAGAGGCTATGCAGAACTTCTACGCGAGACGGTCAGAGGATGCCAGTCTCTTAGCTTGGAGGCTTCTGTGCACACCCTTGCAGACCTGTTTCCTACGTTGCGCAACGAAAGGCCCGGAGGATGCCGGCCATAAAGGTATCGTTGCCAGAGTGGTGCCTCTTCAGCAAGTTGCTGCTATGGCTGCTGTATTGATCGTGGAATCTCGATCTCTGCAGGCGCGCGCCGTCGACACCACCATGGCTTCTTGCTTGGAGGCTGCACCGTTAGTGTGTGTGTGTGGTGTGTGTGTGCTAATCGACCTTGGAAAAAGGTTCCATAGCTGATGAAGAAGGGGCTTTATGTCGCTCACAAGACTGGCCTTACAACATATTTTCATAGACGGCAGAGATAGATGTTGCGTGCGGTAGCCTAATGTACAAGCCAACGGGCACAGGGAATTTTATGTGTTCGGACTACGCGGAATCAAGAGGCCCATAGCTGTCCGCGCGAAAGGTTCACAGCGCAAGCCAGGGTGATGCTACTCACTCCGAAGTGGCGTCCGCAAGCTCAGCATGTTCATGCATTTTCCAACCAGTGCTTTGGCAGTCAGCAATTGCTCCTCGTGCCACCGGACATCGAAGGTCTAGCGGCGGTGGATCCGTAACTGGAGTGTGGTCCAGTGACATGAGCGCGCGAAGCTTGGCATTTGTTGTCTTAGAAGTGCAACTTGGTGGTGTCCTTGCTTGATGAGCCAACCGTAGTAGCTTAGGAGAAGAATCATGTCCTGGTGAGCGGCATTGACACAGGCATTGCCCGCTGCGAAAAGCTGACTATCTCAAGTTTCCTGGCCCACATGAAATAAATACTTCAGCAGGCAGCCCCGCAGAAATGCGTGCTGTGGAAGCGGCGGTTGGTAGGACTGCATGGCTTGCTTCCACCTAGACTTCTATCATTCTTTTCTGCCTGTTTGGTGCAGGATCCTAGCCAATGAGTTGCAGCTTCCGCTGTTTGCCTTCGAGGAGCCGGCCTCTCAGTGCTCTGTAGGTTTAAATGGAATGGCATGCAGCCGGGCGCGCATGTTGATGGGCAAATCCCCGAGAGTCAGAACCGAGGCGGGGACAAAGCCTTGCTGACATCTTCGATCCCTTCCTCGGAGGTCGGCACATGTTTCCCGCTTCAAATATTTTTGCCAACCATTGGATCTCAGGCCCCAATGTGTTTGCTGTGACAGACTCGCACTTACGGGCCTGGAGCTCGGCCATCAATCAGTAGCCATTGTTGTTGGCTTTGGCCAATCCCAAGCCCGGCGAAACAGCCATGTAGGTCATTTCACAAGGCCCGTATAAGGGATCCTTAAGGCCCTGCAAGGATTTCTGAAAGCTTTTTGCACTTGACGGTGACACCCCCTTTCTGAGATTTACTTTCCGCCAGCATGCTTCGTGATGAGTTGTGTGTCATTGCGTAAAACTCATACAAGCACCTCAGACACGGCAACCGCAAGGCAGGACGAAAGTGTGAAGGCCATCATGCATTCTAATGCTCAGCCGAAATGATGGCAGGTGGGTCCACAAAGAGAGGCTCCGTTGACTAATCAAGGGTCATACTTAATCGGTCATGACTTCGAGGCTCAAGGCATCTCAAGGCATCTCGGAGCTCACTGCTGGATCTTTCCTTATCCAAGCTCCTAGGGCCTCACACGCGCATCGTAACATCAGCCATGCGAACAGCATCCAACAGCAGCTCTACGCGGGGCAAGGTATTTCTGAGTTGACCGATGCAAACGTGCGGTCAAGCCCATGATCGCTGGGATCTTTTTCCGTGCTGGTGATCTCCCACTGTGACTTTCAATGACTTTCAACTACTGGCGCTCATGTACACTCCACACAGTATGAAAGCATGGACGTGGCAGTTAGGGTAGGCCTGCTCTTTCCCGATTCCTGTCGTCCTTTCATGTCCTTTCCACCTTATGTGACCGTGGGGCTGTGCTGCATGTTGCATTTTGCAGTTTCGTCTGGTGGTGGCATGATGCAGTGTACTCACGTGCACTCTCCCACCATTCTGATCTCAGGTGGCTGCACAACTCACTCCGTTATCGAGTGGCGAGCCGTTTGACGAGTCAGTGGGCCGCTTCGATGAAGCAGACCAGGATCAGATTGGATCCGTGTAAGTCAGCGTGCGGATGCTTCCAATGCGCAGGAGATCCCTGTGAAGCAGAAGTCTTTCTTCGCAGAACAGCACAATCTCCAAATGCTCTGTTCTCAGAGACTCCGAACTTTCGCATGAATATGACCTTGATGTCGACACTTTAGGCTTGCAATCCAGCCTCAATGGAACGAACAAGGCTGGCTTAATGTAAAACTTGTAGCTACAAGGAGATGAGACTGTAACTGTAGAGCTGACAGACGCATTGCCACACACAGCCGTCCATGGCTGGAGGACTCATGCGAATGACTTGTTGTGTACGCAAATTGATGCGCCAGGTGTTGATCCGGCGCGTATGCGGATTCGCATCATATTCGAGGACCGGACGATGACTTTTCAAGCTTAAGTGCTTACAATCTAACATCCATCGTGGCTTGATGAGTGTAACCCGTCTCGGCAGGACATTGTATCGAAGGATGATCCAGCGGCAATTATTCGAATATTCCCCGCAGCTTGGTTTGTGCTAATAGAAGGAGTCGAATAGCTTCGAATTTGGAGTTCACAATCCTAGCGATGATTCTGATGCTTCCTCACTTCAGCTGTGGATAGCATGCGCCTGCTTGAAGCCGTTTTTGTCATTTCGATGACGGAGCTAGCTACGTAGAGTCTTCCGCCAGCATGCATCAGTAGAGATTGGGTCACGTTGACGGGCAGAAAAGCCTGAGAAGATGCAGGTGGCTTTGCGGGATATTTGCCAGTGTCTAAGACCGCAGCGCTGCGCAGTTCCAGGTGGACCATCACTTGCAAGCTCCTGCCAGGCATGAGCCTGAAGCCAGATGACCAGCTCCAGTGGCAATTCTTTCCGCCTGGATCCTCAGTCGCAGGTCTGATGGTGCTTGTTCGTTGTCCTTGCCAGCCAATGCGAGCAACTGTAGCAAGCTGTCATTTCTATTTGCAGTTTTTGCTCTGTCGGAAATACTTTGTATCAAAGTGCGGCTTAAATCCATCACGTGGTCGGCCACTCTCCGTCCTCGTGAGTGCAAGAATCGACACTTGCCCGTGCTGACCACAATGCCTCAGGGCTGACACCGGCCTGGGAGCTCTTGAGCCGGAGCCCTGCAGCTTGCACGTTCCCGCCTTGACTTCGGCAAAGATCTGCAGGCCTGCTGGAGGTGAAACAGAAGTTGATCCGCTGGATGGTGTGCCTGTTGGCTTTGTTTGCCGGGCCCTCAAACTTGAACTTCAAAGCAGGCCATATCCTCAAAGAGTACGAAAATGGCGAAGAAGTCTACAGACAAAGGGCCGCACTGGAGGTCACACCATAGCAGCCGGAGACGATGTGCAGGTCCTGGCCAGTGGCGAGGCGCAACTCAATCACAGAATTCCCTTTATTCTCTAAAGCCTGCAAGTCTGAGGTGCTTGAGATCGAGGTCCTGCAGCCTCTTCTCCGCAACACACAATATGAGCCAGCCTCGGGCACCGCCACGGGCATGACCTCAGATGTACACGGCTGCATGCGTATGCACGCGCTTGCAAGAGGTGGTTCTGCTGCCACCGCGGATTGTGAAAGCCGCTATGGGAAGTTTGGATCCCTGCAGCCTTGCAATGTTTTTTCTGCGCAGAGTCCTGCCCGCCTGTCTCAGGCACTGCCTTTCCAGGCGCTCTCTGGGAGGCTCAGGGAATCATTTCTGTGAGTTTGATGCAGCCAATTTGGCATGGTCACCCGTTTTCCGCCAGGGTTGGCCGAACGAAGAGGGTCAAGGCAACAAGGACACTCACTGTGGCGCAATGTGACAGCGCAGTGCCACAGCCACGGGGCACCTGGTGCCAAACCATTGGCTGGGATCTCTGCCATGGCCTTGGCGCAGCAGGAGTACACATTCACCACGGGCATTCCCAAGGCATCCTTTGCTAGGCAGGGCATCCGTCATCCTGTGCATGGAAGTTTCGCTGATTTCCAATTGCAAGGCTTTCCATTGCCGTCAGCAGCACCCTCAGTGCCGAGCCTGTGATGACAGCCATGGTGAAGCCCCAAAAAGCGGAGAGGCTGCAGCTCCGAGGAGGAATGTCAGCGTCAGCGTGGGCCATGGGAAGCGTAGTGGATGTAGTGGCTTTGCTCATCGGACATCAAAGTGCCCGCGATGTCTGCAACCCTTTGCTGGCTGGACAAATCTGGACTGCTGCTGCTGCTGCTGCTGCTGCTGCACATTGACTACTTCTGCTCTTCAAGCTATCGTTGTCACTACACATTCATACATGTCATTACTGCGGCTCTAAGTATTAATAGCCTGGCCATCCCCTTCCAAAACCCAGCCATCATGTGAGAACGCAGCCCACGCTAGCCCTGCTGATGCTCCTGACCGGGAGAAATGTACGAAAATATGATGTTCTTGGTACCTGGGATGTTTTTTAGGTTTGTAATGTCTTGTTCTCTTGCTTACCCAAAATGGGGTCCCAATTGTGCTGATGATGCTCCTGTTCGGGGCGCGTGCGCCCCTTACGCCAGCATCATCATAATTGGGACCCACTTTGAGCTTGCTCGGGACGAACATCGAACAAAACAGGTTCTGTGCGCAGGCTGACCATGTTTTAGCTCACAAGTACATTTTTTGCAAATCTGAAGCAACACTTTAAGGTGCTTGATAAGCTAACGTGGTGCAAAATCCTAGCTTAGGAGCCACACAAGTGCTGGAAATATGGGCAGCGCACATCAAACAACCATGGAACTGACAATTTAAACGTCGTTGCGGGGTAGTGCACTTTGGCCTGACCTCATCTTGTCGTATGTGCTGCCGGCATTTTCCTCAGGACCCTTTGGGCTGAATCTTTCACGCACATGGAAAAAGCCTCCGCATGCGCTTTGCTTCGTTTGCATTGAGCATCATCAGTTGGCACCGGAGCCTGGTTTCGGCGGCTGCTTGACATCCTCGTCTACTGTGTTCACGACTTCACCCTCGATTACACGATCATGCCCAGGATCCCGGAGATCTTCCGCCTTGACGGGCAGAACGACGTGCCGGACGACAGCGGCGATCTTGATCAAGGTGAAGAAACGGCACCCCCTGACGACCATGATGGCGACGACCCTTGGCTTCGAGCGCTGGAAAGGGAAGCAGCCACCAATGTGATCCAGGGCAACCAAGAATGGCGATGCATCCGCTGCGACTCCGACCGGGCGACTCAGCTCGGGCCAGGGCAGTGGACTTGCAACGTGTGTCATGGATGTGAGTTCTATGCCACCCCCACCAAGCTTTGCGCAGGCAGACGGATCGTGGCACATGGATGTTCCTGCCCAGGTCTCCTAGCGGACTCCCTGAGCAAGCTCCTCGTCATGATCCACCGGGCAAGGGCCATGCAAACCCGATCTCCAGGCGGCAGATGCAGCAGATCAACCGAGCTGCTCGCAGAGGCGGACCGCCGCCTGAACCACCTTTGGAAGATGATTTCGAGGTGCCGGAGTCTGAGACGGCCACCTTCGATCCGACCGTGGACCCCGACGAGCTGGCTGGACTACCTCGTCAGCTTCCACCCGGACAAGGCGGCGCTACATGGACACCTACGGCACGACCAAGCTCCTGCCCTGCAACCCCGCCTATGGCATCTTCGCAGGCGGCTAAGTCAAAGGCCAAGGGCGCGGCGCCGCGGAAGCCAGCCAAGTCGTCATCTTCTACGAGCTGGAATCCCATGATGGGACCTGCCCGAGGAGTGCGACGGAGGGGTGGAGCCCCACCAGCTCCGCCCTTGTGGAAATACGAGCAGAACGACCTCCGCGCCTACAGCAAGTTCGCCAAGAAAGTTGCTTTGTGGCGTATTCAAGTGTCTTCTTTCATGACTCCTCGAGAAGCAGCCCTTGTGCTCTATACGAGCCTGACAGGTGAAGCCGAAGCCGAACTTGAGCATGCACCGATTGAATCTATCAATACCGACAAGGGGATAGACTTCATTCTTGAAACTTTGCGCCAGCCAATGGAGCAGAAGTAAAACTTTGAGAAATGCAAGTTCTTGTCAGACTTGGAAGGCATCCAATGACAGCCAGGCGAAGGCCTCAAGGCATTCAGCAACCGCTACCGCCGCACTAGCGCAACCTCAAGGTTGGCGTCGAGGTAGCCTTGATGTACGACAATGAGGCTCGTGGCAACCGGATAACGGCTGATCCTGGTGGGGTGCCGCTACTCCCTGGCCTTCGAGGACGTTGCCGAGAGCATGGCGATGCAGTTTCCGGACTTCAAGGGTGAGATGTGCAGCCGGTAAGCCGGAACAAAGGGGTTAGCAAGGGCCAACCACCGAGCTCCTCTGGACATGGCGGCAACGGCGGCAAACCCAACGGCTTTAGCAAGAAGGTTTACCTGGCGGACCAGACGGAAGAGAGCCAGGCTGAACCGGAGCAAGAGTCCGCGGAAGGCTCGGGCGGCGACCGCGAGCCAGAGCACGCCGCTGTCGACGACAACGGCGTCGAGGACGATGGCGACCCGGACCAGGAGGAAGCCGCGGACTTGGCAGAGGTAGCGGAAGTTTTGAGTGTGACAGCCAAAAAGCTCTCCGCCGAAATTTTGCCGGAGGGCCCAAGAAGGATGCTGCCACTCTCAAACGGGAAACCCACTGCGCAGCTTGCGGGGAAAAGGGTCATTGGCGAGGTGACCCCGAGTGCAAGGTGTCGGGGAAAGGTGCTGCCAAGAAGCCACCGCATCAAACACACCTGGTGCACCACGCTGAACATGGCTCCATCGAGGTCGTTGACGACTCCTCCTACGGCACGATGTTCAGCGTCAACGTGGTCTTCGACGTGCGGCGCGCCACCGATGGCGACGTGAGCTTCCCCGGCCTGATGATCCTGGACACGGCTTGCCAACGGACATGTTGCGGCGCGGCCTGGGCGTTTTCACATACTTCCATTCTTCGTGCTCAGGACCTGCTCGTGTACAGAGCCCCTTGCGCAGATGCTTTTCAGTTTGGCAGCGGCGACCCGGTGAAAGCCAAGCACCGCTTGTACATGCCAGCTGGCATAGGCGAAGCTGACCTTGTGATTGGAGCAGGCGTCCTCGAAGCAAACATTCCCCTGCTTGCGCCCAATCAGCTGCTTGATGAGCTCGCATGGTGCTTGACATGCCTAGGTCTTCTGCCACATTCACCAAGCTAGGAGTGACAGTGCCTGTGCTTCGACAGAACGGACATCTGACTATACCAGTGGTCGAGTTTAGCAAGCACGTTCCCTCTGACAGCACTAGATGGAAGCAGCTTCAAGATGCAGTTGATTGGGACAACCCTCCTCTGGAGCTCGTGTTTCTGGCCCAAGCCGTGGCTCACACATCGTCCTCCCCGACTCCAGCACTTCGCTGCCTTCAGCTCCTCAAGCGCAACGTGTTCATCCAGATGGCCCATGCGGTGAACCTGACGCCCGAGATCTACCTCGACCCGACTATGTCCGGTACGGCAACGCGTACGGCAAGTTCGCTCGCTGCAAGCAGTGCCTGAAGAGGTGGAAGTGGAACGCCCACGAAGGTCTGTGGGTCGAACGCCTGGACAACAAGTTCGGGGCATCGCTGCTCAATTCGCAATCGCCCTTGCCATCCTCATCCAATACTGTGCCGGCCCAAGCAGTGCCTTCACGGGTGGCGGAACCATCGACCCGGCGATCTTCCAAGCCCCAGGCACAACACCCAAGGCGTCACCGGCGACACCAACCAGGACTTCGACAACTCCGGCACGCAGGCGGCGCGCAACCCGCTCAATGCTGAGTGGTTCGGAGATGTCGGACTCGACACCGTGGAATTTGCTGCGCAACCCTCCTCCGGAGACGGAATACGATTGGGCCGACTGTCGACCTCCAGCAGACCACCGCCTGCCGTGGACATCATGGAGTTGTTTGCCGGTGAGGCCGGCGTCACTTCAAAGGCGTCCCGTTATGGACTTAGCGCTTCGGAGCCCGTCGATCAGGTCTTTGGATGGCGCCTCGAGGATCCGCAGACCCAGGACTATAGATGGTCAAGCGGCTGCGGCCCCATATCCTCCACGTGGCCTACCCCTGCACCCTGTACTCCATCTTCAATGAGAACCTCAACTACAGCAAGCGCATGGACGTACTTCATCGCCTACGGCAAGACGATATGGAGATGCGACGTCTCATTCGCAAGCTGCTGGACCGTGCCTTCGTCCTTGAGAATCCGCGGCGCTCACGACTCTGGGAGATGTTCGCGACCTGGGCGAGTTCCCCGGCGTTGTGCAGTGCATCGTTGACTCAGGCGCCTACGGCGGCACCACGGTCGATGGCGAGCCGATCATCAAGCCCTTTAAGTTCCTCACCAACATACCAGGCGCTGCCGCCACGCTCAACAAGCGCCTCTCGGAGACCGAGCGGATGTGCACAGTGCCAGTGCAGGGCAGGAACACGAGGCCATCCCAGGTCTACCCTCCGAAGTTGGTCGATGCCCTTCTCCACCTCTACCATGATTACGTCAGATACCAGGACATCACTCGGTTTCCTTTACATCAAGCTTTGGCTACTTTTCAAAACCCGGTCTCGACCTGGCCGCCTGGGACCCCATCGTGACGATGCTTGAACGTTCCTTCGGCGCGAGCTCTACGAGGCAGGTTATTTCAAGGTCCCACAGGCAAATTTCCTTAAGATATTTGAGGGGATCGGGGGCTGCTGCTTGCTGCCATTGCTGCCCCTGACCACCCCTTACTGCAATGCTGGCACAACCCTTGCTGCAATCTTGGGCCCCCCTTGCAACCCTTGCTGCAACCCTCCTGGCCCCTTGCCGCAACCCTTGCTGCAATCCTGGCCCCTTGCAGCAACTCTTGCTGCAACCCCAGGCCCCCCTTCCTTTCTACGTGGATGTGGACAGCGATGTGGGCAAGAACATCGGCGACCTCCTCAGGATGAACTTGGTTCGTATCCAATGTGTGCAGACTCCCCACGGACGTCACCTTTCAGCTGACGTTCCTGCCGAAGTTCGCCGGACCATCGCGCGCGTGCACATCAACCTTGGACACCCCACTGCTGAGGAGCTGGTTCGACTGGCGTGTCATCAAGGAAATCCTTCGACGCACTTATTTCGGCCATTCGCAAGCTCAAGTGTGCAACTTGCGACCGCCTCAAATCACCACAGGCACCACCACCTTCCGCTGCACCCTCCACAGTGACCCAGTTCGGTGACCGGGTCGAGCTCGACATCTTCTATGTCAGGAAGTTGGACGGCGAGAGGTGCTCGGTGGACGTTGCAACACGCTTTCATCAAGCTGCTGTCCTTTCTGGCCGCACCCCAGAGATCGCCTATGAGGCCTTCGAACGAGTTTGGCTTCGCCCTTACGGACTTCCAACCTTGGTGGCGGCAGACCCGGATGGATGCTTTCAAGGCGACTTCCAGCACTGCTTGGAGTCACATATCGCCCCATCGCTCCATGCCGTGAACAATGTGGTGCTCAGCAGGGGCAGGTCCGCCTTTCAAGCAGTTTTTGGAAAAGTGACGTGCCTTCCTGGCGGGCTCTTCATGGACAGCCAGGCATTGTCTGTCTCCCCAACGACCGATCCGGCGGCAACGTGCGCTCGGAGGTGGTCAAGGCGATAGCAGACCTGAACGTGCAACAGTTCATCATCAGACGTGCTATCCTTCGTAAAACAAGGAACCTCCGAATCCCGGATGTGGAGCCAGGCAGCCCATGCTGCTTTTGGAGGTGGAGGCGCCGAGGACAGAAGAAGAGGGGCGGCTTGGGTTACAGCCAAGTTTCTTTCTTGGGGCCTGGGTGAGGTCTGGAATGACTACGGCTTTGGTGGCGACTGAACAACTTCGTTCTGCCGTTGGCTTCGAACAGGAGCAGGACACCACGGAGAAGCCATTTCACAATGACGTCGACGCCTAGACCTGCTTTACCTTCTGGACTACCAGAACTTCCGCAACCTCAAGAAGGCCAAGTTCCAGCTTTAGAACGCAGAGCAACTTCCCGAGCTGCTTTCTCCTGAGTTCAGTGTGCCTTTCGAGGAACTTCCTGGACTACCAGAACTTCCACAAAGGCCAACTTCAACCACCAACTCTGGAGCAAGCAGTCGACCTCGCTCAGGACGTGGACGCCGCGCCAGCTGGCGAACTACCTGAAGACCTCCGCGACTACGCTCCTTCACCTGCTCTTGACCTGCCCGAAACTCCGGCCGCTTTAGTCGGACAGCCACCTACTCCTGCGGACTCTGGTCAGGCGGCGCCGGCTTCAGCTTCGACTACCTCCAGGTTGCCTACTGCGCCAGTAACAAGCTCAGCAACTTCAGGAGTTACTGCTCCTAGCCTCCTGCCGGCCAAGCGTACCTTTGACTCCTTGCGCACCACGCTCTACGAGGAAGTCGGACTTCTTCGCCGGCTTCTCTTCGGACACACCCTCGGCGAGTTCTACGGCCCCGCCTGCAACCACTTCTACCAGGCGAAGCTGGCGTCTTCGCGACGACGTGCTGACCACGGACAAGCCTGCCCAGGAAGTCGACACCTCGGACTCCGACTGGGGCCGTGAGATTCCATGGCGCAAAATCATGGAATTGCCGCCTCCACAGCTTCAAGCTTCAGGCTTACAAGGAGGCGGTGGAGAAGGAGCACTCTTCGTGGATGGAGTGGCGTTCCGTAAGGGCACTGAGCCACGAGGAGGCAAGCACTGTCTTGAAGGGCAAGATCCTCGCCAAGCGCGTGCTGAGGACGCACAGTTGCTTTCGAGACAAAGCAAAAGGACTTGGGCCTTTGAGAGCCAAGTGCAGAGTGGTGGCACTGGGACACTGTGATCCCAACCTTTGCAGGCTCAACCGAGAGTGCCCGACTCCGAACCGGACTAGTGAACATGTGCTGTTCCTTGTCCTGACGGCGGGAAGCAACCGCGAGTTCAGCAACACCAAAAAGAAGTGGTTCGGTTGGACGGGCGATGCTGCCACGGCTTTCTTGCAGGGGGAGCAGCCTGCCAACGAGAGGACTCTCCCGCTTTACATCAAGCCGCCAGACGATGGAGTGACTCGCTCCACGGGCTGCTGGAAAGCACCCTTGTGCTTGGTCCTCACGAACATCTATGGGCTCGCCAACGCTCCGCGCCTTTGGGCAAACACCGTGGTGCAGAGGTTGAAGAAGCTTGGGTATCGGCAACACTCTTTTGATCGTCTTAGTATACGTCGACGACTTTCTCGGCGTCCACCCGGAGGACTGTTCCATAGAGCCAGTGTGGCAGTCCTTCAAGTGGGGGTCCCCAAGCAAGGTCAAGCCCGACAAGGAGTTTACCTTCAAAGCAAAACAAATTTCCCTGCGGCAGCGTCCTGGTCATTTCTACCTCCATGGTGCCAGGCCGAGTTCATCGACGGCCTGTCTGTCGGCAAGATTCCACGTGGTGCCGACCTGGACGCGACCCTGTCTCCTGAGCAGAGGGCCGAGTTTCGTAGCGACTCTGGCAATCTCTGGATGCCTGCAGTGGCTTTCGACTCAGACAAGGCCTGAGCTTTCCGCCGCCAACAGCCTTGCCAACAAGGGCGATAAGACGACACTGGGTGACCTCAAGTCCCTCTATCAGGCCCTCGAGTTCGCCCGCTCCACAAAGAACGACGACGGCATCGTTGTCGAGGACTTGGCCTTGAACCGCGGCGGCATCATCATGACTTACAGCGACGCCTCCTGGGCTAATGCTGAACAGTGCCGCTCGCAGCTTGGAGTTTTGGTTCTGCTTACTTCGCCGACAGTGCTCCAGCGGACCGCGCCGGCAGCTGTCCTTGACTGGCGCTCAGGGCGTTCGACTGGGGTTTGCCGCTCCACCCTGGCGGCGGAGGCGAGCGCAGCTGATAGGGCTGCGACCGAGGCTGCTACCTGAACATGTTCATCTCGGAGCTCCTGTGCCAAATTCCCTGCGCGTCGCTGTCCCCATCGGCTACTGCGCCTCCACGTTGTAGATGCCAAAAGTTTATACGATGTCGTAGTGAGTGATACTCCCAACCTCGCGGACAAGCGGTCCCTTGTGAACATCAGGGCCATTCAAGAGGTCGTAGATGGAGAACGTATCAGGTGGGTTCCGACTCAGGTACAGTGGGCGGACGGCCTGACCAAGCACAACGCAGAACTGCAGCAAGTGCTTCACTCTTGGCTCCAGAGGCCTGTAGTCATACTACGAGATGATGCCTAGGCCAACTTAAAATATTACCCGTGACACTTTAAACGTAGCTGCGGGGTAGTGCGCTTTGGCCTGACCTCGCCTTGTCGTATGTGCTGCCGGCATTTTCCTCAGGGGCCTTTGAGCTGAATCTTTCACGCGCATGGAAAAAGCCTCCGCGTGCGCTTGCTTCGTTTGCATTGAGCACCATCAGAGGAACATGCGCAGTTTATAGGGTTTCGGGCAATGCGTGCAATGCCTTGCGCATGCTTGTCATGCAGTGCAGGTGCTACCAACGCTGGTATTTACAGCCACGCGCACTGCCCGCAACACGAATTTTGAGTATTTTGTGGGCCCAAGAGCCAGCATCATGAGCACTATGGGGCTTGTTTGGGCCCCCAATTTCTGTCTTGACACCACACATATGAGGTTCCAACACGCCTCCTAAACCCTAGGTATGTTGAGAGTGAGAAACGAAGTCCCAATTGTACTGATGATGCTGGCCCAACAAAAACTGCCCCAAACCCCCGTAGCGCTGGGGGAAAGCCTCAAACACGCGTCAAACAATCATCATGTTTTTTTGGTGGCGCCCCGCCAAAACATAACTTAGCTAGGTGCATCAGCGCCGGACCGCGACGGGCAGGTAAGACTTTAAGGGCCTGGCTCAGCCCGCCGACCTAGAGGCGGAGAAGTCGCGAACGCAAAGGCAGCGTTTATGTGAGGGGGTAGGACGGGCTGGAAGACAGCTGCGAGGGGCATTTGTGTGCGTGTGGGCACCCACGCCCACTACACGGGTTTCTTTGACTTGTCCTGCTGCTTCTTGCTGTTGTGTGCTTGCGTCCTGCAGTTTTCTTGTTGATTTCCTGCCCTCTTGCTCAAATTGCAGTGGCATCATGACCTCCAGGTTAGAGCAATGGATTAAGCAAATACCTAGGACGCTGAGATCCAAGAACTTCAGAAGAACTTGGAGCAAGAAGAGTGCCAACGTCGGAGCCGCCAAGTTTTCCGATTGTTCCGAAGAAAAAGTATCTGCGTTGGATACGACAGCGACTCGGACGAAATCTCATATGGCTCTGATGACAGTCCGGGAGAGTTTGCCGATAACATCAGCAACGGCATCTCGCAGCTCATGAATATTCTTGAGAAGTCCAGAAAAGAATGTGATATAGTTTTCATCTCTTACTACGCTGTACAGTTTCGGAGTGTTGCTTTCCCACTCGTGTCTGTAATTACTCTAAAACTAGTTTGAAAGTTGAGAAGCTTGACGAGCAGGAGGCGAGCAGTCTCAGAGCAGAGATTTTCATACAGAGTTGGCCTGGATGATTGTAGCTCAAGACTAAAAGTTGGAATGTTCCGAAGTCAAGTTAGCATTGTTGGTATAGTTCATAAATCTGGATACAACGTGCCTTCATTCATGGTTCTCCCAGGGTGTTTGGGTACGCGTTCTGTCAAAGGGCGTCCTCCTAGCAGTTCGTCTGCTAGACCAGTTGGCGTGTTGGCGTCAGTTTGTATAGTTTGAGCACCGTTGGAACCAGTTTCACGTTGGCAGTTACCCAACCCAGTTGACGTTGTTGGCATAGTTGGAATGGTTGGTATCGTTGGCATTTTTGGAGTCTCTGTTGGCATTCCCCAGGGTCAATTTGCTTTTGTGTTCTGTGTTTTTTCTGCTACTCCTTAGTAACTGCGAGCCATGAGCAGCTTCCTGTTCCGTTCTGGAACAAGACTCCAGTCACACTGTCGCTGTCGCCAAGGCGTTAAATAGCGAATGCAAGTGCTGAAACACCACGCGTTGCGTTCTGTCCAGCCCCGTGCCATCAAGCGCCGGTACCCTCGTCAGCAGGAGCACAGGTGGCCTTGCCGCCACCTCCTGGAACGTGGGGAACCACTGGTAGCGAACCGACAGCTACAGTTGTGGCAGATGCAGATGCAAATGCTGCTCCGGTTCCACAATTGATGCCCGTGTCTGCCTCTGCCCTTGCTTTGCCTGCCACGGCCACAACATGTGGTGGATTCACTTTCAATCCGTACCCGGTTCACCCACTGTTTCCGGACAATCAAGCTGCAGCAGCCAGCGCGCAGCAAGCTGCCCATACTGCGCAGTTTTCAGTTCCGCCAAACACAGCGTGTTGCCCTTTTGCAGACATGTCAGTTGCTAGCGCAAGTGTTGTGCTTGTTTCACCCAGCGTACCTGCAAGTGCATGCAACCCTGCAGCTGGCCCAGTCACGCTTGGACTGGATAGCGGCAACCTTGGCGCACGCGGCCAAGTTATCAGTGCAAGTGACAGCAATGCCGTCGCAGCCCAAGCTAGCCCCCATGTTCAGGCAACCCCATCTAGAATATATTCCGTCACCACCGCCTGCAGCTGTTGCAAGTTTTGGGTTGGGACCACCGACTCCGCCGCCGCCCCCTCCCCCTGCATCCTCAGCCTGCAATCTGGGTTCTCAGCAGCCAAGACGCCGCCCAAGCAGCCACCGGGTTTCCGTGCTGTGCCGACGCCGCCCTAAGACCACGACTGTCTCAGGCACACAGGTGTTACCAGCCAACACAGTAGCCGTGGTTCTTGCGGTACAGCTGGTGCTGCAAGCAAAACAAGGTCAATCGACCGAACAGAGCATGAACCAGCTGCTGGGTCAGAATTCTTTGGAGAGTGAACTGGCTGATTACTGGAGTTTGCCAGATCAACAATCACTCAAATATTTCCAAGGCAGAGCAGCCTTGCTTGCAAACGAAGCTGCGCAGGGGAGCCGAGGCCGAGATGATTTCACTGCCTGCGTAGCGTATTGTCTGGAGCTTGTGCAGAGACCTCCCAACTCTCAGAATTCATTTGATGTTCAGCAGGAGGTTCTCCTCACGTTCTGTCAAGCAATCGTGACCGCCGGCTTCCCTTACAAGAATGCATTCAAAAAGCCAGGAACTGCTTGGGTGCACAACAACAAGGTAATCTGGCAACTTGATTCCACCGCCTTCCCAGGACCAAAACTGCGTCCTAAGGCTGGATGAGCTGGTTTCATGGGACAACCCAAAGTACCTTGCTTGGAGTTTTCAAATCTGGCAGAATGCTGCGCGCTTGTAACGAGACGGTTGGTTGCAAAAGCTCAGAGACTGCGTATGGATTTTTCGGCAGGGCATGCTGGGAGGGAGATGACCGGAGCATGGCGCAAGTGACCTCCACTCTTGCGTTTCACTCCAAAAACCAGACAGGGACCCTGATCAGCGGAATTCAATAATGGAAAAAGAACACTCAGTCACTCACTCATGCCAATGGTTTCTACAGCGGTGCCAATGACCGACATGGTGGGCCATGGCCGTGTTGGCATCATAGGAGATCCAGTTGCAGTTCCACTGACAACCATCAACCCCACACTCTCTGTCACAAAACCTAGGTGTGTAATTACGTTCTTGTTCTTCACGGCGCTGTGCGGCACGGATTCGAAGTTCTTCCTCCACCATTTCCACCATCCCCTTGAGAATGTGGTCTGGGGCAGTATGGACCCAGTCAAAGATCCTTGGGGGCGGTGGCTTGGCCAAGAATCTGTGGCCGTTCTCTTGATGGCAAATGTAACTTCAAGCTCATGTAACCACCTTTCTGCGTTGCCGAGGCGTCGTATGAAGGCTACTGAGGGCAACTAGTTCAGGGTTGAACTGAAATCTGCATATGTGCCGGCGTGACACTGGGTGAGACATAACATGTTGCGCGTGCCATGCCCTTGCGATCAGTTTACCACTTCAAGCTGCGCAGACATCAAGACATGCGTGTAAATGTATGTTGACACGACAGAACTGCAACGGAGAAAATCTGTGCTCTGAGGCGGGTCCCTTTCTCTCATGATGGGAATTCAGATGAATTCGAAAGAACTCATCAAGGATAACATTCTGCTACCGGGCGTTCTTGGTGAGAATGCTCAAAGGCACGCTTTCTCTGGCGCCACTGGGAATCAAAACTGTGCATCCCAAGACCTTGAGTGATTCCAACTCTGGCTCCGATCTGATGGATGCCAGTTGGAGTCTGTTGAGGATCCCCAGCTGTACCACGACATGTTGGAGGCTGTTGTTTGCTGCGACTCGAACCAAGAGCTAGTTACCGAAGAGGTCACATGAAAGCACTTTCAATCAGAACATGGAAGACTGTATTTGGAAACACGTCAGTTGCATTAGTACGCGTATTTGTTACGCAAGGCACTTGCTGCACGATGTGAAACCGGTGAGACAGGTGAAACTTAGGCGCAGGAATACATGTTCAATCAGTTGGGCTGCATCGGCTGGTAACACTTTGCGCGAGCTTTGCGCCGACATCACAAGGCAGAACGCGCTGATACATTCCATGAGGCGCAGCAGCTGAAAACATTTGAGCTGGTAAAATCCATCTCAAAGGACAAGAGGTGGGCTATCAGAGAGTCGGCCGCACGCATTACCCGTTTTTTACCTCACATCAGCGGCGCGTGACAGCAGCGATGATTGGTCGGAGATTCTCACTGTCGGACCCAGCCGACTCCCAAAAGACACCGCGCAGAGCTGCCAGTCCGCGACGATTGGTCATGGAGTCCCTCTGGCAAACCCGACCCCCTCCGTCCTGGACAAAGGTCTCAGGGTTTCATGATGTTGGCCATGTAGCGCGTAGACAGTTGCCGGACCAAATTCAAAGTGCCTCAAAGGTCAAGAGAACGTCAGCTTTCGTTGGCTGGCTCATGGTGAGTTTACTTCTGTTGTCTTTGGTAGGAACAAA